CTCACAGCTAGCTACCATATTTCCCTTCAGGAGTCAGAGTCTTCAGAATTATCTGTTTGCAAGGCTTCATTATTTAAAACTGATGAAGAATCAGGCAATTCTATTCTTTCTTCTCGCTATTTTGTTGCTCTTCAAGAGTCTCAACTTCCTGAAGAGTCTGTTTGTGAGGTTGCTTTGTTTGAGCCTAAACAGGATTCAGGTAAACCTGTTCTTGCTGCTTGTTATCGTATTGCTCTTCAAGACAATTCGACTTCTGATGAGCTTGTCTATGAGGCTTCACTTTTTGAACCTAATCAGGATACAGCTGTACCAGTTCTTACCGCTCGATATCGTATTTCTCTTCCAGAGCTTCAGTCAGCTGATGAACCTGTGTATGAGGCTGCATTGTTGGACAACAATGAGGCATCCAATGAATTGGCCTCTTCTGCCTGCTATCGTATTGCGCTCCAGAAAGCAACCAAGCCTGATGATTCTGTACATAAAGCTCAGTAGTTTTAATTAGACCTGTTATCGTTAAATTTATTTATGATTATTAGCTAAATGGATTTTGTTAGGTATCTATGCTCTCTTGATATCGTGTAGTTCCTTCAGCTGTCTCTAATCTTAATTACATTCTAACAATTATGGCTTACCCGTGGACAAAGGGCCCTGTCTGAATAGTTGCTCATGAAAAAGAATGCGTCTCGAAACATTTTTTCAAAATAATGAATCTTTCCATTCAGTTGATTTACATTATCTTCCCATTCATTTGTGTCTGTTCCACGAATATGTAGTTAGGAAGGACTGTCTTTATGCTATACAGGTGATGCTATGTCCAATCAGAAGCAATTCTGTTTATGTTTTGAAATATTCGATTGGAAGCATAAAACGAAGTAAAAGTCTGTAGTCGAAACATTTGTTCTTGGTTTTTGTTACCTTAGGAATTCAAAGGGTGACATAATTAATTATCATATTATGTAGAAATCAGTTTAAATGAAGGTATATTATATTCCACTTTTGAAGGCTTTTTCCCTGTATCAGCGCAAAGCTTACTGGGATTTGTTGCAATTTCTTTTTATTAAAGAGATTCACAAATCAACACTACATTTTTCTTTATTTGTTTTAGAAATCAAGCTAGGAATCAATTACTATCAAGGCATGATAAACCTTCAAAATTTTATCATGTAGAATAAAATTATACATGTACAATTATTTGTCCAATTTATATATTTCTGTATTTATTACTATTTTTGCACATTTACGATTATCTAACATTACCATTGATATGTACTTACGCTTTTATCCAATTGCTTGCATTTTTTTTATCATTTATTGCCCGTTTTTTCTTGGTGGCATCACTTTTGGTCCTTAAATTCTAAGTATCACTGTATTGGTGTTGTAATACTTTGTTTTGCAATCGCCATCGACTTTCTATTTCATTCGTATACGTCAAAAAACGTATTTGTTCATGAACCTATTTAATATATGTATCCATTAGGTACTTGGTCCAATAAATCTTCTGTAGGTATGAGGAACATTCAAATAGTATGCAAAAAATATACATTTTCCATCTGCTTAATCGGTGCGATTAATGAATCACTTTCTCTTTCCGTTTTATTTTTTAATAAGTTTGATTGAACACATCATTTCCGTAAGGCTGAAAAAAAAACTAATTCCTTTATCGTATACCGAATATTCAAATATACAGATCTACGATACCGCGAATAGGTAATCTGACAGCTTCTTTTGGTTTCCATTTAGGTGTGTTTGACTGCTTAGTTATTTTTTATTCTACACTGGGTAATGCAATGAGGCGAATACAACTAGTTTTTCGCGATTCAGTTGATAAGCTCCACCATGCGTGTTCTGCTTCGTTGCGCAGGTATACATTGCCCGCTCTGGCTGTGCCCTACCTCACGTTCGCGTTGCACATCCAACAGCGGTCGGCGACGTCGTTCGCTTCCTCACCTTTTCTCCACCAGCAGCATCGAGAAGAGCACCACCCCGTAGACTCGTCGAACGCGCACGGATTTCATGGTGAGGGGTCGATTGCCACGTCTCTACCAGCCTCGGCGGCAGCCTCCTCGTCCGTGGCAATTTTGTACACCCCTGGATCTGGCATCACTGGGAGCGGTGCGGCTGGGGCGCTTATCGCACCTACCACAAGCATCACAAATCACTGCAATATTCTCGCGGAGTCCGTCTCTAAGGCGGATGAGCTTATGCAGCAAAAAAAGGCTCAGGAAGCGCTCCAGGCCGGTGCCGGTATCCTCACCTCAGAGGCAATTGATGAAATGTTAGAGGAGCTCCGGGAGGTTACCACCAGTGAGGTTGAAATTCTCCTGCAGGAGGTGCGGACGACGCCGGTTGTGCAGCAGGCGGGCATGCATGAGCTACGGCGTACACTTTTCTACGCCACTACGCTAAAAGAGCGAGAGTGGATTGATTTTCAATCCTACACCACCATAATGCGAATGCTCACGGTGGAATTCCTTCGACGCGATAACAACGGAGTGCTAGCTCCCGATGATGTACTCTACATCTCCACCCACATGGTCACAGCAAACTTCTATAACCGGCATCTGTGGAATCGGCTGGAGAGGGTGCTGACGATTTTTTCAAACTATGAGCATATTGAACTTACCACGATCAAAGCCCTCACTACGAAGCTCTTCAAGACGCGACGTGGCTGCTCAAAGGAAACGCTAGATATGCGGCGTAAAGTACTTGCCGCGATGACGCGGCGGATTGGGTTACTCGCCAACGATTTCGATCTGCCATCATTGCTTGGTATTCTACAATGCTTCTCCGTTCACGATATGGCGCCGATTCCGATCGAAGCCCTTGCGGTTCGTGCAACCAATCATCTAAATGATTTCACCCCGCAGGAGTGCGCTACGCTCGTGCACGTGCTACGAAAGTTCCGGTTGCTTCGGTTAGAAACGTGCGAGAGGCTTGTGGAGAAGATCTGTTCCTCAGATAAACTCACCCATCACATGGCGAATAGCGCGCTGATGGCAATCCGAATATGCTATAATAGAATTAGCGATAGTGGACGAAACGCCCTGCATGCGGAGCCGACGCGCCAGAAACTGCGTGCGATGGGAGAACAGGTGGTTTGCCGCCTGGAGGAGGTTGAGTTCCCTGCCCTCGTGGTGATCCTGAATGTGCTGGATATCATCGTGAATCTTCGAATTTACATTCCGAAGAAGCCGCTACAGAGTGCTTTTACCCAAGCCGAAGCAATGCTGCATGTGGTTTTAGAGCAGCAGGATGATCTTATAGATCCAAAGACCGGCAAACGCGTGCGCCCGATCACGGCGGAGGAGGGGAGGCAGCTGCAGGCGCTTTTGCTTCACTACGGATCCGATTTATCACCAAAACTCTCAAGTAGGCTGAAGACCGCTTTCCAGGAAGGCCTCTTACCAGATGAAGCATCGCTCTAAGCGGTGCATGTGTACATATATATATATATAAATATGTGTGTATCTATTTATCTAGATAAGCAGGTAGATAGAGAGATAAATGGATTGATTAGCGCCTCTAAATTGGTGCGTGGATACTATTTGCTTCAATGAATTCTTGGGTTCACAGCAATAAGTGCATTTGGATGAAATAGCAGTGTCCTTCCTCCTTCCTTTACTCTCCTCTTTTATTTTGTGATGATTGCTTCTGCATGCCTAGTCCTTTTTTTTTCGAAGAGTGAATGAATTCCACACAGTGTTTCCTTACTTCACACATCCGCCTTGGTGTTCTCCACGGGCCAGTGCGAGGAGCCCCCCGTTCTTTTAAGCTGAGTGCCTCTAAAGGAGTTCGCTATCCTCGTCTTTCCACCCTCTCGCTGGCGGGTGGGTTCTCCATAATCGCCGAACCCAAGGCCTTAAGGTGGCCCCCTATCTTAAATATCGCACGCAGTTCGAGCACAGTAGCTAATCAAAGCCTCCATCGCGAGGATCTCAGGGAGGAGCCCTCTAGCTGGTGGCTGCGCACCTACCATCGCGCGTTTTTCGCGCCAAACGAACGCGACGACGGCGGCGAAGAAGAAAAGGGCGACCGCACCAAAGTCGAATGCCTCCTTCCAATGGAAAGTGGGGAGGTGTTGCGCGTTACCCGAGGTATTTGTACGGCGCTCTCTTCTCTTCTTTCGGAAGGTGGCGAAGCGCTACGCGAACCCTCCGACATGTTGCTTGTGCGAGAGATGCAGGCTGTGCTGCTTTTCATCATTCACCATCGCCTGCGGTACTTCATGATTCCCCCCTTCCAGCCGCCAGGGGAGGGGATCGATGCGCTGGGCGACAAAGAAATCGTAGGCGAACTGCGGGAGGCCGTGGAAACGTCCAGTGATGCCTCTTTGGGCTCTCCAAACCCCTCCTGCGCGCTCCAGCCAGCCGAAAAGGGCGATTACGAAAAAGATTCGTCCTTCCTCGGCGTCCGGCGTGCGGCGTGTGAGCGGGTGGATGATTTAACCGCGCCCGTTCCCCCCCGGGTGTTGTCAACCGCTGAGAGTTTGGTGGGGGTGGTGAAATCCATTTTAGACCTCCCGCCCACGGCCGTTACGCGGATGTACCACACCCACAGCGTCCTCTACGAACTCCTCCTCACGCCTTTGGGAGTGGTGGAGCAGCTGACGAGCTCGACGATCGCGTTGGTCGCGACGTGCATGGCGAGGTGCGCGGAGGGCTACGCCGTGCGGCTTCATCTTTCCGCCTTTACTTCGGATGATGAAAGGCGCCCGTCGTGGGAGGGAGGAAACCTCGTGGAGGAGGAGGAGGAGGGAGGGAAGCGTCTTCTGCGGATGTACCTCGATCAAGACGCGTTGCTCGCCACGCAGGCAGAGCAGATGACAAAATTTCTTGCCGATTTTCAGCCAGGCGTAAACCCCGTTGTCGTGATTTCACACTTCAACATCCTATGTCGTGTGGTGCGGAAACGCATGGAGGATTTTCTTGCCCACCAGTACGCGGAATGGAAAGCCACTTCCGCAAACTTCCATAACAGCAAAACTAAAGAGATCAAATATTTAAAACAAAAAGACTTTTGGGATCGCGTGAAAGGTCCTGCTGGGTCTGATAGCTCGCTGGTGGCGGCGGTGGAGCGGAGGCAACGCGCTGAGGAGGCAAAGCTCCGCCTCCTTCCCCTCGAGGAGCGCAAAAAAAAAAATGTGGAAGGGGGGGCTCGACCGCGGCGTCGGCGCGCCGTTGGCAACGTCATCGCGGAAAAAAGTCAATCCACCGTCATTCCCCCTCCTGATCACGCAAAGGCGTGTGAATCGCGCGAGTTTCTTGATTTAACTCTGAGCGATGTGGCCACGATCGCCTCTGCGGTGGGTTTTCTGCGGTATGCGGATTCATTTTTTTGGGAGGTGCTCACCACCTTCACCTGCTGGAGGCTCTCCCTCGCGGAAACGGAGGATCTCGAATTGGATCATAAAGGGTGGAGCATGAGGTTGCGGGAGGTGCGCGATATCGCGTACGCCCTCGATTACGCCCGTCAACGCGACCATTACACGCGCCTAATGGAGGAGCTGGTGCGTATGGGATGGCTTTCCGAACCCATTCCCCCCCCCTCGATGACGGTGCAGGCAATGCAAAGTGGGGTTCAGTAATTGAACCGTTTGAATTGCTTTCTGGGGTGTCGTGATTGTCTTTTCCTTTTTTTTTTTGAATAAAAAGACATACAACGGATGGTTCTGTTTGCCCACCTTTCACTTCCTCCTCTTGCTCTCTGTGGGCGTCGTAGGGGGGAGAAGAGGGGGGGGGGGGGTTGACTTCTTGATCTCCTTCGGATGATTTTGTTTTTTCCAACGCTCTTCCCTTTTTCCTCTCCGGTTCGTTGGTTCGATCGGGTTTTTTTCCCCCCCCCCCCTCACTTTCCGTAGGATGTCTCTCACCGCGCGTGAGCTCCAACGCCTGGAGGAGGCCGCCTGGCGCGAGGACGCGTCGCGGCGGCTCTACGCGACCCCCCACCTCCCTGGTTTCCCTTGGCATACCGTGATCGGCGCCGACGGCCTCGCGCGGCGCCACGTCGTCCCGTACGATTTCACCTTTCGGGTTTTCGTGAAAGGCCGGTGGGTGGGGCGGCGGCTGCTCGAGGTCTACGCGGGGGAACTCCCCCACCACGCCCCGGCGTACTACGCCGCCGGCCTCGCCAGCGGGCGGCTCCGCTGCGTCGCCCGGCGTGGGAACCTCCCACGCCGACAGCTCAAACGTGGAAGGGGGGGCGGGGGTCCCTTAAGGGATCCCTCGGAGGCCGTTTCCGCCGGGGATCCGATCTTTCCCTCGGCGGCGGATGGGGTTTCCCGCGCGGATGGGGGTCTCCCACCGGGGGGGGATGTCGTGCTCCGTCATGGCGACGTCGTCCTGCACACCGTGCACCGCCATGAGGTCCCCGTCGCGATGGGAGGGGGCGGGGTCGCCGCGGTGGAGCTCCTCGCGGTGCACCTCCGCGAGGAGGGAGGGCTGATTGGGGTGGGGAAACCCACCGGCCTCCCCACCCACCCCACCGGGCGATACGCCTATAACGCCGTGGTCGAGATGCTCGCGTACGTGCTCGCGCCGAAGCGCCTCAAGGCGTGGTTAACCGAGGCGGATCCCCTCCTTCAGAGCCTCGTTCGCACCCACCACCTCACCGCGAGCGCGAAGGAGGCGCTTTGGGCGTATTACCGCCCCGCCCCTTCGCATCCAGGCGATTTCGATCCACCGAATCGGGATGGGGAGGAGGTTGCGATCGAAAAGCTACCGCGGCCCTGCCATCGTTTGGATCGCGTGACCTCGGGCATCCTCCTCCTCGGCGTGGGGGAGGCCACGACGAGTCGCGTGAGTCGGGCGTTGATGAGGAAATCCAAACACGTCGAGGCGGTCGTGCTCGCGGCGAGGGAAGCCTCCGAAGGGGCCCTTCCTTTCACCAGAGAAACGCATGAAGGAGGGGATTCGCTCCGCCACGTCCTGGCGGAGCCTTTGGGGGTGCGAAAACGCTATCTCGCGCGCGTTTCAGGGAGATTCCCGCCGCGTGAAACCCCCTCCCAGGTGGGGTTCGAGGCCGATCCCGTTTCCCCTGGCGTCTTTCACGTGGATGAAGAAACGATGGCGCGCGTGAATCGTGACCTCCTCCCACAGGCGGGGAAAGGTGAGGAGAGGAATTCGGAACTCGCTCGTGCGATGAGCGAGGTGGAGCCGGGCGGGATTCTGTTTGTCAACCCCGTAGCCGCGAGCAAAGCCCACGCCGAGGGGGAGGCTTCTGAATTGATTTCGTCGTCTTCGTCGCCGGCCGTGAGCGCTCCCGCGCGTCGGATTCCCCAGACCGCGATGACGCTCTGCCAGCGGCTGCGTTTTATTCCCGGGGTAGAGATTTTCACCGGTGAAGACGGCGGAAGGAGCTCGAATCTTGTCAACCCCGATGACGGCCAAGCCAAAGGATTGGCGAGTATTCTCCAGTGCATCCCCTTCACCGGCCGGCTGCATCAGATTCGCGTGCACCTCAGCGAATGGGGATTTCCCATCGAAGGGGATACAATCTACGGCGCCCCTCCCGCCAACAGCCCTTTGCTAACGGCATCGGAGAAGCAAAAACACGACTCCACAGCCGAGGAAGTCGCGAAACCGTCAAGCGCGCCGTCGTCGTCGTATGTGTACTACGATCCGAGTCAGCTACCGAGGTCGTATCTCGAGTATATGAAGCAATGCCGCTCTAGCGAAGGTAAGGGGAGTGAGAAAAACGAGAAAAAATCCGCCGTTGCTGGCATCCACGAGCCTGAGGAAGAAAAAGAGGAGGATGTGGTGGAGGAAGAGGGGTTATGTTATGAATGCGCTGGCAAGCTGCCTATTATAGCTCTGGACGAATCCGTGAACGCCTCGGCCATTCGCCTTCACGCATGGCGATATGAATTAGACGAAGACGTCATATTCGGCTCCGATTATCTGTCTGAGGGTGAAGATCCCGATAAAGATAATGGTTGTGCGGAGAGTGCCCTCAAAATTCGAAAAGATGAGGGCAGCGCTAATTATTTACCTCGGCGAGATGCAGACGAAGCGATGGAAGTGATTTTTGGATCGAATTTCGTCAAGCGTGTGGGCAAGCAGATTGTTTTTTCATCCCCTCTTCCCGAGTGGGCACTAGAATAGGGGAACCCCTCTTTCCGGCATGAGTTTCGCATACCTATCCATGAATGCGATTAATGATGATAATATTAACATAAATAATAACAAAAGCGTGTTTAGTGGTCCTTTCCACGTTGTAACCTCCACACAAATACTTTGGCGTTACTTGCCACGTGTTTCCATAACTACTCCTGTATCTTTTGTTTTCATTGGAGTCGAGGTAGAAACCATTTATGGAATACAAAATTTAAGAGGGGTGAAGACCAATCAAGGAATATTTCCATAGATGGATTCTGAATTCTTCACAAGATAGTGTTTCCTTTCGCTTCTTGTTATCTGCTTCTTTGCTGTGCGCCTACCGCCAAAGAACGCAAATTTGTGGGGGCGTAAAGGAGAAGGGGAAACCAGAGGGGATTCCATGTTGCTCTACAAAGCCCTTCAACGGGCAGACTGCCCGATCTGCTTACTCCCGCTCCGAAAGCGGAAGATCGAGAAGGAGGATGCCGCATCACAGCTGTCGTTCTCCTCGGCCGTTTTGCACAAGACGCCGGTATCGGATTCCGATCCGGAATTTCGCATCCTTCGCAGGGATGGGATACCCAATCCCTCCGCGCTTCTCGGCCATTCAGGGGATGGAAACGATCCCGATTCGGAGCGCCCCCCCAAACGACGCCGCATGGAGAACGACGGCGACGAGGGGGATCCCTCGCCCGAGGGCGTCGTCGTCCT